TTGCAGTTTTTTCATCTCATCCTTTGTATGTTTCACCCGATTTGGTGTTGAAGTTCGAATTATGCACCTCACAAGAATGATATTTGGTACCAGATATCAGATACAGTCCAGAAATACCTAAGCCAAATTTTTTCGGTTCAGATTTGGATATAGCTCCCATATATATCTTCAACCGATTTCAGGTTTATTGTGCACCAAATGGCCAATATCAGTCCAAATGACATGAATTTTGGTACATCCGACTGAATTCAGTATAGAAGCAAGTACATGAAATTTGATGAAAATCGGTGTAAATATAACTATAGCTCCAATACATATATTTCATCCGATTTGGTATTAAAGTTCCTCACATTCGTAATATATATAATAATGATATTTGGTACCATATATCTTATAGAGTTCCGAAATACCTTTGCCAAATTTTTTCAAGATCGGCTCAGATTTGTATATAGCTCCCATATATATCCTTAAACCGATTTCAAGTTTATTGTGCAAATAATGGCTAATATCAGCCAAATGGAGTGAATTTCGGGACGGATGTTTCCATTTGGTGGAGCTTGGCTCCGATGTATATTTTTTCAAATATAATCCTTCTCGAAGTGATATCATGCACTTTATGTCAATGTTATTTGGTGGTATAAGAGATAAAAATCTCTCCGTCAAATTTGGTGAAAATCGATTCAGAATTGGATATGCCTCCTGTCCAGATATTGGACAGGATATTGGTATGATCTACTTCAAATAAATTCCCAATATAAATTCTCTTGTTACGGAAGCTCTACTAAATATGCATAGCGGTGTAGGGTATCATATAGTCGACCCCACCTGACTTTTGACTTTTCCTTACTGTTTCATATTGAGTTTCTTTTTATTGGCGGCCAGGGGGTTGGTGGGATTGATATATCCCTTCCATTTAATGGTTTTATTTGGAAGATATCTGGGTCAAATTTGAGGAAAAATAAACAAGCATAAAATATGAGATATATTTTTGATGTTATTTTTGTTTTTGCCATGTTGTTGATGGATTTGTTGATGTTATTTCAGCCATGAAGATCTGACAAACACCAATAACCTTTAGCTTCAAGGATGGGCGACATGCCACTTGGAAAATGCTATAAAAATTTTTTTCCCTTAATTTTTTTTTTATGAAAACCCCTCTCTAACTTCTCCTACTTTCAATTTCCCTAAATTATATATGGAAATAATATTTCTTAGCGAAAATCTAATCTAAACAAGCTTTCAATTTACTCTTTCGCTCATTCGGCCAATCATAGCCCGTTAATGGTTGTTGTTGTTGCGGTTAATGATGATGATCAAATTTTATATTCGTTTTATTTGATCTTTGTGAATGCCGAGAGTTTGATGTTGTTGCAATTGCCGTGATGATGGGCAGTTAGACGCTTTCAATTTTCCCACAATAACAACAACAACAATAATAATATTTACCACCAGCAAAGGAAAATTTATTGCTAAGCAAAACAACGAACTGAAAGTGGATAATCGGTTCTTTAAAGCTAAAAAAAGTATGCTATAGTAAGAATAAGTTCTAAATGTATTCGGTTCCAAAGGTATTCTATATACGAAAAAAATACCTTCCTTTGATAGAGATTTTTAGAAATATTTTTCCAAGGACTCTATGGGAGTACAATCGTGGATTTTTAACACAATTTTTAAAAAACAATAGTCGTATATTATTTAAAAATGTTCGATTTAAGTCCAGGAAAGTTCTTAAAATTGGTTCAAACATTTTATTTATTTATTTTTTTTTTTAATATTTTTATAATATAATCATGAATTTTTAAGAATGTTTTGAAGGTTTTTTAGCTATAATCAAGGATTCTTTATGGAAATAATTGTGGATATATACATTTGGAATTTGAAGAAAAATTGCAAGGACTTTTTATATCTATCGGGGATCTTAGGGACGTTTACATTTACAGATAAAAATAGTGGATTTTAAAGGGTGTTTTCCACAACAACTTTTTTATGGTCGTGAATTTTTATAATACTTTTAAGGAATTTTTTTAATATAAACATGGATTCAAGATAATTTTTTTTTTCAAGGAATTCATAAAATATAATAACAGATTTTTAAGGATATTTTTTCAACGACAATTTAAGGTATAATTTTGATGTTTTCTAGGACTCTTGAAATTATAGATTTAGATTTTTTGAATACTAGTTGTAGGCTTTTAAAAATATTTTTGAAGGCAGATTTGACTGACACTCATGGATTTTGTAAAAAGTATTTTTTAAGAACAAATCGGGGATTTCATTGAGAATATTATCTCAAGGACTTTTTTTATTATTAATACTTTTCAAGTAAAAAACGAGGATTTTTTACGAATGTTTTTCCAAGGACCAATAGGCCAATAAAGGTGGGCTTTATAGGTATTTTTTCAAGGACTAGGTGGACGTGGATTTTTAGGGAAATATTGTCGGAGGACTAGAACGACGTGGATATTTAAAGAATATTTTTTCAAGGACAAGGATGATGTGCATTTTTAAAAAAATATTTTTCCAAGGACTAGAAGGACGTGGATTTTTAAAGAATATTTTTTGAAGAACTAGGAGTATGTGGATTTTTAAAGAATATTTTTTTAAGGACTAAAGACTAAATAAAGGTGGGTTTTAAAGGTATTGTAAAGGTATTCTTACAAAGACTAGGAGGACGTGGATTTTTAAAGAAAATGTTTCAAAAACAAGGATGATGTGCATTTTTAAAGAATATTTTTCCAAGGACTAGAACGACGTGGCATTTTAAAGAATATTTTTTCAAGGTCTAAAGACTAAATAAAGGTGGGTTTTAAAGGTATTGTAAAAGTATTCTTACAAGGACTAGGAGGAAAGATATTCTTACAAGGACTAAAGAAAATGTTTCAACAACAAGGAGGATGTGGATTTTTTAAGAATATTTTTTCAAGGACTAGGAGGATGTGACATTTTAAAGAATGTTTTTTCAAGGACTAGGAGTCCGTGGCATTTTAAAGACTATTTTTTCAAGGACCAATAAATGTGAATTTCTAAATAATGTTTTACACGGACCAGCAGACCAATATCGTGAACATAAAGGCCAACAATTTTGGAGTTTAAATAACATTTTTTCAAGGACCAACAGATGAAATAAACGTGGATTTTTTAAAAAAATACTATTCACCCATATTTCGGCCAAAAAAAATGGATTTTTAGGGATATATTTTCAAAGAAGTGGATTTTTAAAAAATATTTTCTCAAGGTCCTTCAAACAAATTTATGCTAATTTTCAAGGAACATGTTTATCAGACAAATACATCTGGATTTATAAAGAATATTTCTTAAGGATCAATAAACACGTATTTTTTATGAATATTTATTCAAGGATCATAAGTCAAATGAGCCTTGATTTGTGGGAGTTTCTGACCAATTAATGTTGATTTTAAGTAAAGCAGTTGGGCTGAATTTTATATACCCTCTACCATTCGGATTAAACTTCAAAAAATTAAAAAAAAATCTTTGAAAAATGACCCTATAATTATATAATAATTCGGAATATCAGGTATTACTGTTATATGATGTTATACGAAAACGTTGACCAATTCAGCCATCCTGTCATCATAGGTCCAAAACTTGGACCTATACTAGGAACACAAACTACCAAAGACCTTAAATCTGCAGGTACAGTTATATAGGCTATACCAAAACATACACCATTTTCAAAACCAAAAGTCCTGCAGACCAAAGCACATCTCAGCAAAATTTTATTAAACTACTTAATTTTGTTTAGAAGCTATGGTAATTTCCACAGACGGATCGACATAGAACTGGTACATGTCAATATTTCCATTAGCACAAGATATCTTATAAAGATGGTAGGGATCGGACCATTTGTTCTGGTACCTCCCAGACATAGAGTTATGTTTTATACTTGATGATAAAACACCATTGAATTTTTAAAATAAAACACTCTATTTTATATTAATTTAATTAACTATTTTTATTTATTATTACATCTTATGCTAAGTTTACTAGTTAAGGTTTTCCACACAACTCCACTTATATTTCTAAATACACAATAATTTAAAGAAGATTACAAAGAAATTGTCAACAGCAACAAATATAATAAATTGGGAGTAGATGGAGAGTTAAAGAGAGTATTGACATTAAATTGAGAGAGTAAAGACAAAGTGATTAAGTTAAGAGATATTTATATTGAAAGAGAAATAAGTTTAAATATTTAAGATTACAATAAGGTTAAGAGATATTTATATAAAGAGAAGGAATATTAGAAGGGTATTAAGAGGGGTAGACGAATGTGACTATAGGGTTCAAGATTTTGATAAACAAAACGTTCAAATTTCACACATCCCAATATTTTTGCTAACACAAGATCTGTTGTGAAGATGATATATATCTGCGAAATCCTTTGAATAATAATAACATAAGTCAAAATATATTTAAATAATCGAACACTGGCTGAGGGTATACATCTGTCAGCAAAACCGACTGATATTTTTTAAATTGTTGTTTATTAAATATAGGACTTGATCTTTTTGAAAAGTTATTGTTTTTTTATTTATTTTATTTTATTTTATTTTATTTTATTTTTATATTTTATCCATAAGAAATCTCTGGAACTTAATCGATTTTTAATAACCGTTTATATCAAATTATGACTTTGATTTTCCACATCACTAACATTCTGAACAATTTTTGGATGATTTTGGCCAAAACATACATTTCACTTCACATCTGAGTACATACCTCCTCCGGTATGTACTTGTATGCGACCATGTACCAGAGGTCGCAAAGGTAATGATGCAGTCGCTTAAAAATTCCCACTACTTTTTGGCCAGAAAAAAGCAGCCACCAGCAGCAACAGCAATAAACATTATTCTCAATGAAAAAAACAAAAAAAAAAATAGAAAAGAATACAAAGAATAACTAACGAATGAATCCTCCTCCACCACTTCGTCGACTTCTTCGTCTTCTTCTTTTTATTAAAAATAATGAATTTTGAATTTTGGCAAAATTTTATGTTTTAGTTCATTAGTGAAACTCAGCCACAAAAGGTGGTCGTGTCGAGGTGTTGTCGAAGTGGAAGTGGTGAAAATTGTCTGATTGGATTTATTTACATTTGAAAAACAGAAAAAAATACTTTTATAAAAAATGGTAATTAATTTTATTGAGTGGGGATTGGAGTAATAAAAAAAATATTAACTATTGTAAATGATATACGAAAAAATGATGTATGTATGAAAGGTTTTAAAATGTGAAAATCTTCCCTTTGATCTACATAGACATAAATTCTCACACCAGTGAAGAAGATGGAATACAAGAATGTAATTTGAAAAGATAGCGAAAACTACAACTCAATCATAAATATGTGCAATATAAATTATAAACATTCTGGAATGTGTGGAAACCAAGATCCAATAATTTTTTTTTGACTGCCCAATGCTGTAGTTTAATTCTCAAAACAAAAAAATTATCGAAATTTATAACCCTTTAAAAATATTTTAAAAACCTAACACGGTTATGGATAAATTTTTTAAGAAATTTAATTGATTTTTCAATTTTTAGTATAACACCAATGCTGTAGGTGTTTTTATCCTTAATTTTTTTATAAGATTCACAAAATATTAATGCAAATTATATATTAAGGCTGTATGGAAATTTTTAACAAATAGTATTCGAAATTTCTGTCTTTGAAAAAATAATTGATTATATTAACAATTTTATAAAAATATTAAAAAACAGGTTGAAAATAACATTTGGTTGTGCAGAATTAATCATCAAGCAAATATTCTTAAAAATTCATTAAAAACTCGAAAAATTCTTCAAAAAATGTTCATTAAAAATTCTATGAAAAAAGTTCTATACAAACTAAAAATGCTTTTAATAAATTCGACAATAGAAATTTTTAAAAAGAATAGAAAATCTGTTTTTTTTTTTAACGGGAGATGACGTTTTTAGCATATTTTCTAAATTTTAAAATTTGAATTCCTTGAAAAGATATTTTAAAATCTTGAACTAATATCAAAAGCATACTCTTAGTCAAATCAAAAAGTAATTCTAGAAATATTTTATTATCTCGGATTAATCATCAAATATATATGCTTTGAAAGCCATTAAAATCTTCACCTTCTCATTTAATATTCGAACGCTCATTTTCCTCGAAAATTATTCATTAACAATTCAATAAAAAAGTTCTATAAAAATTTCGGAAAAAAAAACTAAACAGTATTAGAAAATACTATCAATAATTCCAACAAAAATATTTTTTCTAAAAATGTCAAAGTTGACTGTCTTTAAAAAAAAAAATTAAAATCTTTAAAATTAGAATTGCTTATTTCTGGAGTAGTTGATTGCATATATCTGGAGTATTCTCTCAGTTTTAGAAAAAAAATATCACAAAATGTAACAAAAACTATTCACGGGTATTATATCTTAGTACATTTGTTTGTAACATGGAGAAGGAAGCGAGGTAGACCCATAGTTACTTTTGATGATCTGCATAGAATCACTTTCTGGGTCAATTTATGCATGTCAGACCGTCTGTCCATGTATTTTTGTGAACTAAATACAGGTCACATTTATTATCTGATTGAAATGAAATTTTCCAAACAATATTTTTTTTTGGGCCAGGGACAAATCCTATTGGAAATCGTTCCAAATTTAGATATAACTCCCAAATATATCTTCGTCCGATTTCGGGTAAATTTTGCACTAAATTACTAATATTAGTCCAAATGACCTGAATTTTGGCACATCCGACTGAATTCATCCTAGAAAACAATAATACTTCAAATTTGGTAAAAATCGGTTCAGATATAGCTATAGCTTCAATATATATATATATTTCATCCGATTTGATGCTAAAGTCACTCACATGCGTAATATACACTCTTCAGCAATGATATTTGATATCGGAAATCAGATATTTGATATCGAAAATAATTCTGTCAAATTTTATCGAGATCGATTCGGATTTTTATATACCTTCGATATATCTTCATACGATTTTATGGTTATTGTCCAAATTGGATAGATTTTTGTTGTTGTAAAATGGTCAGGCTTTATCCCTTTATTGTTGTTTTTATATAAACGACGTTTGTTTATTAGTGGAGAACGATGGTACTTTTTACCAGGGGGTAAGGCATGGAATACCTAGATTTTTTCATACTATGCCGGGTGAAACTTTGTCCGGCATACCTATTGTTCCGATAATATTTTTTAATGTTATTTGGTACAAGAGGTACAAAAGCCTCAAATTTGTTCGATATAATTCCCAAATTGTGACTACTCTAATACGCATTCAAATAAGATTCATAATTATTGTTCTGGGACTAATTTTAAAATATTTTAAACAAAAATCCATGTTTCTTTTTCCTGGGAATTCTAAGAATATTTTATAGAATGCCGATCATTGTCCATGAAATCCTTGAAATATATACTCACAAAAATCCATGATTATTCTCCAGGACTTTTAAACTTTTTTTATGATTATCCTTCGAAATTATTTTTAAAAATTCCACGATTATTGTTTTGGAACTTGGATTATTGTTTTGGAACTACGAAAATATTCTTCGTAAAATCTATATAAATCAATAATATATATTTATATTTTTTTTAATTCAAAAAATTAATCAAATGATTATTGCCTTGATTCTCATTCAAAAATATTCCTAAAAAAATTATGTTTTGAAAATTTTTTCTAAAATGAACGACTATTGCCCTGAGAGTCCTTATATAAGAATCCCTAAAATATAATAATCCTTAGAATATACTTTAGGAAAATATTCTTTATAAAATGCCCGTTTATTGTCCAGGGAGCCCTTCCAAAATGATCTTGAAAAATCCACGATCATAATCCTGGGACTGCTTTAAAAATATATATATTTTTTTTTAAATTCGCAAATGATATTTTGGAATGTCTTTAAAAATATTTTTTTAAAAATCTGCGGCTTTCAAAAAGATTTCTTAAAAAGACTCTTTAAAAAAACTCCACTATTACTGTCCTGGCAATAAAATTCTCTAAAAATCCAAGATTGGATTAGAAACTTTAACAACGCATTCATCTTTGTAAAAAACGATTTCAAAAAATCCATGATTTGGCTTTCAAAACTTTGAATCCATAAGTTTTTCACTGGCCACGGTTTGTCCACTAAAGACTCCACGAATTGTCCTTCAAAATATTCTTAAAAAGTCAACTAATTATTAAGAGGCTCGAATGATCCCTAAAAATATTTTCAAAAAAAATCCCACCATTGCTTCTTCAAAATGTTCTTCAAACAATCTACGATTTGGTACTTCGGTGTTTCTAAAAAAAATATTAAAAAATATTAAACTATTTTGGTCTTTCAAAAAATGTTGGTTTTTCAAAAAACATTCCTTAAAAATTTGCAGTTGGTCTTTTGAAAGTATTCTAAAATTGGTCTTTTAATTTGCATATTTCGTTCATAAAATTTTCTTGAAAATTATTAAATAAGGTTTCTATAAAATTCAGATCGGGTCCTTACAAAGTTTTTAAAAAAAAATCACTTTTAGTCCTTAAAGAATGTTGTATAAAAGTCGACGAAGGATATTTCAAAAATATCTTTCACAACTTCACAACTTATCCTTTAAAATCCAATTTGAGTCCAATTTTTTTTTAAAAATTCACAATATGTCTTTTAAAAAAAACTGAAAAATAAAAAAAGAAATGTCCTTAAAAATTTAAAATTTAAAAAAAATTTAAAAATTTGTCTAAAATTTCCACTAAATATCCTTTAAAAATTTAAAAAAAATCTACGAATATTCCTTCAAAAATGTTTTTCAAAATCTGGGAATAGTCCTTTAAATATATTCCCTTAAAGTCTACTATTTATCTAAAAAACCTTTTTATGAAAGGCTCGAATGATCCTTGAAAATATTTTTAAAAATACCTTGATATACAATATTCTTAAAACAATATACGATTTGGTACATCAAAATTATCAACATCAAAAATAATCAACAGCTGGTCCTTTGAAAGTGTTCTAAAATTGACCTTTCAATTTTCATAAAATGTTCTTGAAAATCATTAAATAAGGTTTGTATAAAATTCAGATCGGGTTTTTTAAAAATAAAAAAAATCACTTTTAGCCCTTAAAGAATGCTGTATAAAAGTCGGCGAAGGATATTTCAAAAATATTTTTCAAAACTTCATGATTTATCCTTTAAAATCCAATTTAAGTCCAATATTTTCCAAATTTTGAAAAAAAAAATCTGAAAAATATGAAAAAAAAATTGTCCTTAAAAAAATTTAAAAATTTGTCTAAAATTTCCACTAAATATCCTTTAAAGATATTTAAAAAATCTATTCTATATTCCCTCAAAAATGTTCTTCAAAATCCGTGAATAGTCCTTTAAATATATTAAATAAAGTCTACTATTTATCTAAAAAAACTTTTTATGAAGGGCTCGAATGATCCTTAAAAATATTTTTAAAATCTACTAATCTATCTATCTAAAATATTCCAAAGTATTAAACTATTTTGGAAATTTCAATTTATGTATTCAAAAATATTCCTTAAAAATCAACAGCAGGTCCTTGAAAGTATTATAAAATTGGTCTTTCAATTTTCATAATTCGTCCATAAATTTTTTCTTGAAAATCATTCGATATTGGTTCAATAAAATTCACATCGGGTCTTTAAAATTTTTCTCAAAAAAATCACGTTTAGCCCTTAAAAATACTATATAAAAGTCGACGAAGGATATTTCAAAAATATCTTTAAAAACTTTACGATTTATCCTTTAAAATCCAATGTAATTCCAAATTTTTATTTGAATTCACAATCTGTCCTTTAAAAAAAATCTGAAAAAAAAAAAAAACAATTGTCCTTAAAAAATATATTAAAAATGCAAAGGGTTAAAGTTCTTGAAAAAAAAACTCATGAACATTTAATAGACCGAGTGTCCTTGAAAAAATATTGGAAAAAACATTTTAAACGATTGGGTTGATGTCCTAGGAAATTATTTTTAAAACACGTTTAACGGACTTTAGGTCCTTGAAATTATTTTCTTAAAAACATCAGATCTAATGAGGTAAGAGTCCTTAAAATAAAATCCACATTTAATGAGCTGTAGTTAAAATATCCGCGTAAAAAATTCCACCTTAAATGTCGCGAGTGTCCTTAAAAACATATGCTTTAAAACATCCTTGCTTATAGTCCTTGAAACGTCTCTTAAAAAAACCTCGATTGGTTTATCAAAAACAAAATGATCCCAGCAAATCCATTATTTACCCTTCCAATTAATATCCATTTTCCCCTCTCCCTTCAACACAGGAAGACGATGAGAAAATGGACATTATGCGTCGGGCATTCCAGATGTTCGATACCCAAAAGACTGGCTTCATCGAAACACTCCGTCTCAAGACGATTCTCAATAGTATGGGTCAGATGTTCGAGGAAAGTGAATTGCAGGAATTGATCGATGAAAACGACCCAGAGAATACGGGTAAAGTCAATTTCGATGGTTTCTGTAATATTGCTGCCCATTTCCTCGAAGAGGAAGATGCCGAAGCCATACAAAAAGAGTTGAAGGAAGCTTTCCGTCTGTACGATCGTGAGGGCAACGGTTACATTACAACCTCAACGCTAAAGGAAATTCTTGCCGCGTTGGATGACAAGCTGTCGTCGAGTGATTTGGATGGAATTATTGCTGAAATCGATACGGACGGTTCAGGAACCGTTGATTTTGATGGTGAGTTAAAAAAAAAAAAACAAAATAAAATATTTTATTTTGTATTAAATGTTTCAATTGAATTTATGAATGAAATTAATGATTATCTATTTATTTTCATTTCTTTTTTGTTTTTGTTCCCACCCACTCAGAGTTCATGGAAATGATGACCGGCGATTAAAATACGATAAACGAAGAAGAAAACAAATGGAAATTAAAAAAACATGCTGATGAAATTCATTATTACCGCAGAGCTGGAGAACTTAACAACAACCACTTATTGTGCGTGTGTGTAAATTTGTGTACAAATAAATAAATAAATAAATTTATTATTTTTAATTGTTCCATAAACAAAATAATAAATAAATGTTAGACCGATCGGGGGGTGTTTTCTCGTTTTTCAGTTGTGGGTGGGTAAGTAAAAAATGAGATTTAAAATAAAAACGTGTTAGAAAGTTTCAGTCGATGTTCCGACAGATGTATTCCCTCAGCGTTTGGCCACTGAGTTGTGAGAGAACAGAGGAATATTTACCCCATACATGAGAGTTATAATTATATAAATTTTACTATTTGTGAGAGAAGTAACCGAGGTACCAAGTACCAAGCAAAAAATGTTCTTTTGGGGGAGGTGTGAAAGAAGAGAACCAATATTTTCCATGCACACTCCTGACCTATGCTTGATACAAATATTATCACCTGCCCGTAACATGCGATATATTATTATTATTATTATTATTATTATTATTATTATTATTATTATTATTACTATTATTATTATTATTATTATAATTATTATTATTATTATTATTATTATTATTATTATTATTATTATTATTATTATTATTATTATTATTATTATTATTATTATTATTATTATTATTACTATTATTATTATTATTATTATTATTATTATTATTATTATTATTATTACTATTATTATTATTATTATTATTATTATTATTATTATTATTATTATTATTATTATTATTATTATATTATTACTATTATTATTATTATTATTATTATTATTATTATTATTATTATTATTATTATTATTATTATTATTATTATTATTATAATTATTCTTACTATTAATATTATTATTATTATTATTATTATTATTATTATTATTATTATTATTATTATTATTATTATTATTATTATTATTATTATTATTATTATTATTATTATTATTATTATTATTATTATAGTTAAGAACATTGCCAATGCTGCCGACCAACTTTAATTAGCGAAGTCAGCATTTCCCTGTTACACGCGCCTATATCGAACCACTGACCAAACACTGCACGCGCATCGGGTCCAATTACACCTTTACCTGACGGTGCGTTTCCCACGATACCAAATGAATGCAACTTGACCATTTTAGAGTTCTGATGGGAATTGGATTGACTGCGAACGATCAGTCTTAGTTACGCAGACGAATAAAGCGGTTGTAAAGTAATTAACTAAATTTAAATAAAAGTGAATTTATAATTGAATATAAATAAAAGTGTTCTTTGATTTAACAGGCACCGGGTTAGTGCCTTAAAATTTTATTTTTTTAAAGTGAGCAATTGAAAATCCTTAACTGGCGCCCGAGCAGGGACCGTACAAAAAAAGTTTTAAAGTGCGGTATCCTTATAATAACGTAAAAAATTCTGCGAATCCTACGGTACCCTCCAGAAACGTTGTTAATTATCCTCCTTCGCCAAACCGGTATTCCTGGTGCGGTTAAAGTGCGGTATCCTTATAATAACGTAAAAAATTCTGCGAATCCTACGGTACCCTCCAGAAACGTTGTTAATTATCCTCCTTCGCCAAACCGGTATTCCTGGTGATCCCCCAAAAATAAATATCACAGAAGGTTACCGGAGCGAAAGTGAAGCAATCCGTACCCGAGTAGGTTACCGTGATCATAAAAGCGGATTCCCAAAAAGGAAAAATACGGACCTTCCGAGAGGGTAAAAAAGGACTTTCAATTGATCGTGTCGCGGCGCGTAACTAAGGCTCAAGTGGGCTCGAAGAGCCAAACACAAAAAATAAAATTGATTGCATATTTAAAGATAATAAAAAAAAGTAAAAATTATTGCATTAAAAAAATGAAAAATTAAAATTAAAGCAATCAGAAAAAATTTATTGCATACCTAAATAATTAAAGCAATAAGAAAAAAGTTATTGCATACAAAAAAAAAAAAGAAAAATTAAAGCAATAAGAATAAATTTATTGCATGCCTGAATAATTAAAGCAATAAGAAAAAAGTTATTGCATACAGAAGAATAAAAAATTAAAGCAATAAGAGAAAATATTGCATGAATATAAAAATTACAGCAATAAGAAATATATATTGCATACTTGAAAAAGTTTTTAAACAAAAAGAAAAAGTTATTGCATACAAGAAAAAATTAAAATTGAAGTAATAAGAGAAAATATTGCATAATTAAAAAAATTAAAGCAATAGTAAGAAAAAATATTGCACAATTATAAAAATTCAAAAAGTTATAAAAAAAAATCAAATCCATTAAGAGTGTTGGAAGAGTGCCATACAAGCCATATAAGGAGCCAGGTAAGTGAATCCTTTTACCAAAATTAGTGACCACTATGGAGGAGATGAGGACGACATTGACTAGCCTTACGGGGGCTGTCAATCGACTATTGGAACAGGTACGACTAATGGAGAATAGGTTAGGGACAATTGAGCGATCGACCGATACGACTGAATTAAATAGGAGACTAAATGAGATAGAACGGTTGGGACAATACGGAACTTCGACTACCGAAGAAGTGGTGCACACATTAGCAGTACCCAGAACTGAGGAGGACTTGAAATCGATATGTAGACTACCAGACAGCGTTAAAGAGTTGCGCACTTTTGACGGCAACCCACCGCAGTACGTGTCTTGGGTTCACTCTGTGGAGATGGTCCTTAAAGATTTTGAAATAGTAAAAGATAAACCTATATACAGGACTATCAAGCAAAGTATCAGGCAAAAGGTTATTGGCGAGGCGGATACGGCGCTAGTTTCGTACAATATTTTTGACAGTGACTGGAAGAATGTGAAAAAAATTTTATCCTTGCACTACGCTGACAAAAGGGATGTTCAGACGTTGGAACATCAGCTCAATCAACTCTCTCAGGGATCGTCGAAGGTAGATGAATTCTATTCAACTGTAAATAATCAGTTATCATTGATAATAAATAAGATAAAAACGGAGTCATATAGTGAAGAAACAATTAGTGCCTTGATATCAACTCACAGGAACCGAGCATTAGATATATTTATACGAGGACTTAACCCGGATCTGTCTAGAATGGTAATCATACAAAGGCCAAGGACATTACCTGAAGCATATTCAGCTTGTCTTGAGTTACAGAATTTGACAATGAGGAACAATATTTTACATTCAGGAACATATAGAAAGTTGCAGTCAACAGACCGACAAACGGAGACATCTCCCTCTCCACCAGCTCGACCACCTAGACATTACAATAATCATAATAAACAGACGAATAACTTCAAGCCCAATAACTGGTCATCAAGGAATATTAATTATAACTACAATCCAAATTATAGGCCAGTGCCATACCTTAAGAAACAACAGATCAAATACGAACCTATGGAAGTAGATCGTTCTGTACAATCTAGGAATATTAATTATATGAATCGGCCCAGCCAACCCGAACAAGGAAATTATACTGAAATTCATAATGGGGACAAACAGGCCCGTCTTTTTCATTTAGAGACTAATTGCGAGGATCTTGATAATCCGGATATGAGTGAGGAAACACCGACTGACAATGTCAATAGCGACATGAATGAACACAATTTTATGGAGGAAGGCCATCAAGCCTACCTTACATAGAATATGTAGACCGTAGAAATAAAATATTACAATTTTTGATCGACACCGGCTCGAACAAAGATTTTTGTAGCCCAGACTTGTCTGCCGGAAGTATAACCATAAGTTAACCCCTAATGATTAATACAGCGGGTGGTGAAATTAGCATAACTAAAAAAATAACACGCAAATTCTTTTCTAGGTTTGGAATATTAGATAGCATTACATATTATATTTTGCCAGGACTTAAGACATTTGATGAAATTATAGGTGACGACTGTCTCAAAGAACTTGATGCAGTAATTGATAGGAAAGAGATTATTCTCACCATTAGAAATACAATAGGAATTCCGCTAAAGGCTAAATTCAGCAATTCTGATGCAATTCAGCAAGAGATGCTAGCCATTGTATAGGTACTTGATAATCTACGAAATTATCTATACGGTGCTAATAGTATAAAAATATATACAGACCATCAACCTCTTACCTACGCATTGGGTAATAGGAACTTTAACTCCAAGTTAAAACGATGGAAAGCACGTATAGAAGAGTATAATCACGAGTTGATCTACAAGCCTGGTAGATCAAACTTCGTGGCTGACGCTCTCTCTAGATTAAAAATAAGTGTCAACCATATCAGTGAGACATCTACGGAAACTGCTAGCGAAGGCGATTCGGAATGCACAAGAACAGCATCAGAGGGTACAGTAATAGTTTCAGAGATTGGAAACGAGGATATTGAATCTACAGCTTCAACAACACACAGTGCAGATCAGGATGCTTCTGACCTTATACCCCACATGGAAGTCCCAATTAACGTCTTTCGAAATCAGATAATCATACAAAATGGACCAGAACTTCAGTCAAATGAGATACCACACAAGAACTTTATACGTCATTATATTTCGTCTCGCGAATGGAACCGAGAGGCGCTGCTACAAAAATTAAAAGAATTGTTGAATCCAGGAATGGTTAATGGAATAAAGATTCCAGAGTGTTATTTGTCGATACTACAAAGCCTTTACTTAGAGCATTTTTCAAGATACAAGATTAGGATAGCACAAAACAAAGTTACTGACATTAGTTGCGAAAACCGGCAGTTCGAAATAATTAAGGAAGAGCACTGTAGAGCCCATAGAAATGCCAAGGAAAATAAGAAACAGATATTAGAGAAATATTATTTTCCTCACATGTTTGCATGTATCCGAAAATTCGTGGCAAATTGTAACATTTGCAACACTAATAAATACGATAGGAATCCCACAAGACCACAATTCCAAGAGACGCCCATACCTACAATGCCTTGTGAGATTTTGCATATGGATATTGTTGAAATTCAAGGCCAGAAATTTATATCAGTGCTTGACAAATTTTCAAAGTTTGCTAAAGTATTTCACATCAGTGACAGATCAGTTCTGACAATTAGAGAAAAACTCGTGAAAATATTACATTTTTTTACCGCTCCAAAAGTTCTGGTTACCGATAACGAGAGTAGTTTTATCAGCCCATTAATTAAGGATTTTCTAGAGAGGCTAGGAAT